CTACTGTTCCTCCAACTGCACAGTTAAAAGCCTATAAACTGAGCTATTTGCCGTTAATTGTTTGTTGCCGGTTATTGTTATTGGGGCGGCGTGCTAAGTGTCCTGATCGGTACCTGCTGAACATTTCCTCCCTTCTAATGGCTTTTAATTTTATCTCCGACCTCCCTATTTGGTACTGGATCCAGAGTAATACTGTCCACTTGCTAACAACGCTGAGAATTAATGGTAACAATTTATTGGCGCTTAATTTTCTATGCCTCCCTTGCATCTTTTGTTATGCACTCATTCTATAAAAGCAAGCCCCTTTCTCTGCGATAACTGTGCAACCATGCACTACTTATTAGCTGATAAAAAAATTCTCCTTTACCTGCAACTACAGATAAACATGTGTGCCATATATATTCGAGGCACGAAGGGAAGATTGTCCAAAACTCTTCGTGCTCTATGCGAGCACTCAGAGTAAGATCATATTTAATCTCGTATATCATAAGCAGAAAAAATTAATTATTTCTTACCCTGAACCCACCCATTGAACAAATGAATAAAAAAAGGGGTAAATGGTTTTGTGCAAATGTATGTCACATATATAAGGAGGCTTCACCGACCCCAATGAGTAACCGCTCGGTTGATGGTGGTAGGGAGTTCTGCATCGGAGGAGGGAACTAATATTCCTTCGTGAAATATGTAACGCATAGAAGGATATATTTTCGGTCAGCATCAACAGCCAAGTTGATATAGCAATGTCTCTCAGTTATAGAACTATCGTCTTGAAACTTTGCAAGGGCCCGTCTTAATGTTGCAGGTCAGCCAGATCGGACCACTATATGCTATAGCTGTTATTGGAGCGATCGGTCGATAAGTCCTTGTATAGAAAACTTACTAATTTATTAACATATCTTACTACAAACTCACCAATTAGAAGTCTCACCATGCTCCTCGTATATAGGCAAAATCTTATCAACATCGAAGTTCTGTATTATATAGCTCATATTATATATTCTTGATCAGTATTAACAGACGTCTGTCCGTCTGTCCGTCTGTCTGTTTCTATGCGAACTAATCCCTCAATTTTAATGCCATCGTCATGAATCTTTGCAGGAGTGCCTCTTTCTGTATTACGCAGTATCAGATAAAATTTCTTTCTTGTTTGAAAATTATTTTTTTAAATGATACCATAACCATTTACCCATTAGATGTGTTAAAACACATAATAAGCTTGATCTGTTTTTTTTGTTCAAAGAAGGTTCAGGGTATAGCATAGCTGACTCTCCTGACTCTTTCACTCTTACTAGATTTTGATGTTTGTTTGCCTTGTTTGACTCGTTTTTAACGGCGTGAATAACACACAATGTTGGTTCGCTTTTCATGGAAACTTGTAACTTTCACACTTCCGACAATATGCAGATACGTACAAATGCATGTAGTTGTTTTTGCGCATTGGAAGCATAATAAAAGGAAAAGTAAAATAAATACGCGTTTAATTAAGGTTTTTAAATTGAAAGTGCAAAAATATATAAAGCAGGCTGCCGATTTTAAGCCAAATAAATGCAATTGAATAGATCAGATTAACAATAAACAGAATATTAATTACATCATACTTTGTTTTGTGAACATTTTCAAATAGTGTAAAACACTTAATTTTTAAAGGGTAAGCATCGAAATTAAGACGTATATCTCTGTGTATTTGTTGGTGATTAACATACAGCCCAATCCGTAAGACTTAGGAGTGGGTTTCGGAGAATTCAACAATGTTTTACACTTTTCGCAATTATCGATGGATAATGCGGGTCAACAATTTTTTTAAGGAACAATAATTAGTCTTCTGCTCGGGCTTAAATTTACTTCCAGAGCCCTACATAAGAAAATATAGAACACTAGTTTCAGCGATTTTCGAAATGGAGTTGGAGTTTATGTTAGTATAGACTGGATAAACTGGGGGTAAGAGTAACATAACAAAAATGAAGCACAAAACTTGTCACGATGAAGGCCGGCTAATACTTAGTAGAATATATGAATATCACACATTTCATGTCATAGGAAGGCGACAATTAGCATGACGTTGCGGACTTAGCCTATAGTAGAGGCGACAACGCTAAAGCCTCTCCTTTTTTCGCGTGTAAACCAAAAGAGATTCCGACTTTGCTACACCACTTTCGCGTTGCTATCCACTGGGCTTGAAACACCGTACCAATTTTCGCCTTCCTTTGACATGCCCACGTAAAAAGTGCCGATAAAACCCATTAGCAGTGGTTTGCCGAAGGACCGGTCTGCGTCACCAGGTCCCAATAAGCTTGCAAGACACCAGCCCAGAAGCCCGAAATACTGAGCATGCTTGTAGCAGTAGCTCGGCGCTAGGCTTAGGATATCTCCTTGATGGGCACTCCCGACCTGAGCACTCTTACACATTTTTTTCTGTACGCAAAAGAATTGTTTGCATGGTAGTTGCACTCCCTTGCTGATAACATATCTTCGTTTTATCAGGGTATTGCCATTAATTAATGTTCGACTGAAAAGTTTAAACAGGAAACTAAATGCGTTTGTTGCACAAGAGTTCGCACATGCTTCTCAAATTGAGCACACCCAAAAAAAGCTTTTTCCTTGCAATTTGATGGAAATAAAAAAGCAGATGTTGAAGTTGGCAACAGTCGTATTGCATACACACATAAAAATAACCATTTAAAACGAAAATGAACACATGACCCATAAAAGGGTATCTTGAGGGGTTGGGGAAAAGGGTTAAAAATGCATGCAACGCTGGAAGGGAAACAGGAAACAGTATGAAAGATTAAATGTGCAACTGAATTTAAAAAAAAATTATTTCATTTCTCGATGAATTTTTATAATAACATTAAGCTGCATTAAACATGTTGCGTTTATCAAAGCACTTACTAAAGGCAACGATATGCTTGCTTTTACCCAGTCGAACATATTTTATTACATAGAGCTACGATTTGTCTGTGAGGTCAAGAGCCAAAACATATGGCGTTGCAATGACGCGAATATTTTGAAACCCATTAATATCCTTCATTTCCCATGACGTTGCAACAATATTTGTATACTCTGTTATAGCCCAAAAAATTACTCAAAGGATATAATTTTCAATGCCCATCAAAGTGCCATCTCTGGGCTTTAATTTGCAATTTTGGTTTATTTTTAGTTTTTTCACATCCTAACTTTAGATTTTCAAAAGAGTCTTTTGAAAAGACCGAGTTTTACACCTTTATGTTGATCCGAGCATTTTATTTTCTTGACCAGACTCAAAAGCAGAGACGATTAAGCCATGTTCGTTCGTCTGTATAAATGCTTCGCTCTCTGAAATCGCTAATCTATTTAATTTCAAATAGCTCACCCAGCTACCACAAAAGCAATAAATCCGATTTTACGACTTTGTTCTTTTTTTCACCATGTCTCTTAACTCACAAGATCAAGAGATACTCAATATGAGGTGTAGGCTCATGTGATAAACAGAGAATATAATTATTTCGAATTTTGCATTCTTTACGCCGTTCTCTTTAAAACTTAAAAAAAAACTTATTTTTTGATGCTCTACAATGCTTTTTGATAAATACGCATATTTTGTTGCCACATTTAATTCCTACAAAATTTCGTAAGGGTCGATTTTTGCAGGGTTCAGGAAATAACAAGAGTGCTCCAGTCGAGGACGCACCCTGATACACTGAATCCAGATCCAAGCTGGCCTTACATACATTCGCGCTTCGAGCATATATACAAAAACACACAAACACACTTGAACAAATGCTCAAGGCTAAAGCTGTGCACTTTACGCTGTGCTTTTAATTCGTATTGTTCTTGAAAAGTGTCGGTGTTTAAGGTTCGATCTATGTATTCAGAGACTTACTTCAGCATGCAGCTGTGCGTGTGTACAAAACACATGGCTCTACCATGTAAACAAGTCGGCGGGGCCGTATTAGTAAATACTCGAGAAATCTGCGAAGAGCTACCTTATTTTACACATTATACCTTCTTTCCATACATAAATGTTATAATATTTGTTGGCTGGCTCGAGGTCCGGGCTTAAAAAACCAAACAGTGACAAACAATTTTATTTCATTTTTGCTTCCAATAAAAAAGTTACTAACATAAATATTATGTTGGAAATTATAAATTGTTTATAAATTCTCTACTGTTGAACTGGGCTGGATCTGTCTACATACTAAATATGTGGATAGGTTTCATTTAGATACCGATTTAATGCAAGCAGGGCAAATTATCGATGACAATAGTAGAAACTATGTTCGAAAATTCAAGTATCCAACTCTTTTAATCGCTGAGATCGATACGTTTTACATACGGGCAACCCGAGGACCTTGGCTTAATCGACTCAACAGTTCTTGCTGGGCAAGAGTACACGTGTGTCCTTCTCTTTCACGGACACGACGGAACGATACACCTCGTCTAATCTACCACTAACCATACAATGTACATTGTTTTGATTTGTTGAGTTGCAAATATCTATTATTAATCATACTGTAGATTGCAAAAAAGTATCCATATTTTTATTCGAAACTCAAAACATGAAAAATAACTGAACAGAAATTCAGAGTGAACTACATGACCCATTTGCAAATGAATTATTATATTATATTTTTCAAAAATGAATTATTGGTATGGCTGTCGATTAGAGTAGGTAGCTAGCAGCACCCTTTGTTCCGGTTTCAGGTCTTATTGAGGCGAATATTTTTGTACAATTTTTGTATATAGTCGCTGAAGCCAACGAGCTTATAGCCGTAGCGCTCCCGAATAATAAATCTTCGGCATGCCGAACATTGCCGTACTTAGAGATACATTTTAAAACGACTAAGCTCGTAATAATAATAATAATAATAATAATTATCCAAAGCTGTAAGTGTGTAGGCTGCTCAAAACGACGTTAAATGGCGTTTTGTATATAAAGAGATATTTTGTTATAATTTAATTTTAATCATACATAGATACCCAATTAAAAAAAAATTCGTATTCACATGTTATTCTTCTTACAGTGTTGCAAGCCGTTAGCTGGGAGGAGTGGTGGACCTACGATGGCATATCAGGTAAGTTATCAGATAAAGTTGAAAATTTGTATTACAAATTTGTTCTAATTATTTCCTAGGATCTTTAGCTCTTTTTATTTCCGAAATATGTTTTAACAATCGTTCGATATTTACTGAATTCAGCGAAGCAAGGATAGAATTTCTTTACAATTTTCAATTTTTGAGTCTCTGGTCCTATGACCTCTGAAATCAACGCGATCATACAAACAAACTAATGGATAGATAGACAGAAAGGATAAGGCCAACTTGTTGTTGATGCTCGGCTTATGTGCTTGAGATTACCATTGCACTGCCACGACTGAGTGTCGCACTTGCATATATGTAAATGTCGCCTCATATTCTTTGTTGCCTTTGGTATTCAGCATCGGCAACAATGTTTGCGTGAAATAACGTAGCATACTTAGACGCGCTGGCACCTGTCACAGCAGTCGGTCTCGAATTGCCAGTTGTTGTTGTAAAACTTTACCGGCGACTAGAACTGCACACGTGAGTTGTACAGTCAAGCAAAACAGCCAGGGAGGCAGACTTTGCTAGCTGGGAGGGTTACGCAAATGAAGACGAAGTCAATTTGCAGCTGTCTAACAGAAAGCAGACGAAGTGCGCCATCAGATGCTGGCCATAAATAACTTTACTTGTTCCTTGATCCATTGTTGAACTCTACATCTTGATAAGCGGGCGCTGCAATAAAATTCATTCCCGACACGCTTCACACTCGGATCCCTACCCGACACTTACTTAAAGTTTGGAACAATTTTCAATGTGTCTCCAATCAACCGACTAATGTGAATGCCTCCTAGATGATTATAGTTATGCATAATCCTGTGTTACAACGAAGTCGGAGCAAAGGCCAAATAAACTTACCTTACAGTTAAGGGGCTACGGAAAACAAGCTTTCGTCTAACAACTTTGCAGGCAGTACAAATATCGGATTCGGCCAGATCATATAGCTGCCATACCATTTGAAAAGCATATTCGTGTATTGAAACTTAGCAATTATTTTCTTTTCTCAGATATTTTCAACAACTTTTGTAACCCGTATCTAAGATTCTAAAGCAAATTTCTGAATGGGTAATAAGCTTTCAGCGTGCCGAAGACATGCTTACTTCTTATACAATGAATAGGGTATATTCTATTTGTGCAAATCTATGTAACAGGCAGAAGTAAGCATCTACGACCCCATAAGGTATTGAGTAGCAGTTAAGAGCAGTATAGAGTATCAGTTGGGAAAGCGTTTATAAGTTTCTTGGCTAAAGTTAACCAAGTTTGTTAATTGATTGTCTGCAACTCGAACAAAGAGGCTTTTGAGTGCGTTATGACTGTTCAATATGAAAGACCGGGATAACATGTCACTGTACCTGACAGTTTTAATGTTTGTAATTTCGGTTGTAACGGATTGGTAATAAATATATTCTATTGATAGTATGGATAAGTAGACAATATTTTCGGCAGCAGTTACATTTTTAAAACTTTCGTTTGACCCCGAAGACAGGTACTTATACCATGTGCCAATGTATGTAACGGGCACGTATAAAATGAAATTTCTCAAAAAGCTTTGAAAATGATTGGGCGGTAGACGAACAGCTTTCATATATATATATATATTACTTAATATAAGCCGACGGACATGCGTCTCATCTCAGAATCTATAAAGCTGAAGACTTGACATTTTGAGCGGAGGTCCTCCCAACGCCAGTATAGTGCGAGTTTGTTCTCGATATTCGGACAATAATTTTAAAAATAATATAGATAAAGATATATAATGCAAATATAAAACACTTACCGCATATTTACAGTCGCAGAGTTTTCTGTTCTTTTTTATTTGTTTTCTTATGCAGCTTATAATGCAGGTTCACTTGGTTTATCATGTTGCTATATGTGTACTGTTGTCATCAGAGCTCTCGATAAGGTGAGAAGGCCCTGAGCATCAAAAAAGGCGCACCTTGTATAAGCTGGCAACAGTATACCTGATGCTGTAACACGTGTTGTCAACAAATTGCAGCCAAATCTGTGCGAAGAAATAACACGAATTTCTTAGGCATGAATAAATTTGCATAAGTATTTCATACATGCAAAAGTGGTGTTTCTACAAAGCCGAGTTTGCCACTGGCACTAGAGGGACGCGTTGGCACATGCAGTGGTGTTGCAATTGGCCGCTGGTATGCTAAGGAAAATGGAAATGCAAACTACTATAGCTTTTTGCTTGGACGCGCTTAAAGCGCAATTAATGTACAAAATATATATCTGGCTGATATAATGGTAAACATAAATATGGTTAAAGCCAAAGTTGATTTGCACGATTGACGAGCCAAATGTCAAAAGCATGTTAAAAGAAGCGAGCGAGTGACATACTTTAAGGCGTCCTCATCCACTAATGTTTTAAATGGTAGCTTGGCGATTGCCCCATTGATTAACTATAGCACCAATTTAATGGACCTAAACAGCAGTTTACTCTAGATACCGTTTAGCGATGAGGTCAACAATCGCTAAAAGAGTTTACGTGGCATATCTATGATTGATGCTTTCGATTGAGGCTGCTGATATAACCGCTAGAACGTGTTGATTTCCCTATACCTTCGATTGAGATGCGATGCGCGAAGCTCAACCGCCAGGTCGTTGCTCGTCCAAACTACACATGTGCCATATAAGTAGAGACAGACATGCATTCATGTTGGCGATGCATCAAAGAGTTTGCTATGCAACGTGAGAGGATGATGAGATTCAAAATAGAAGGGTTGGTGTACATTTGTTAGGTGGAATTATTAAAAACCTCATAAAAAGTAACTTCCTCACTAGAAGATACCCTGTACCCTTCGCCCAGTTTCCACAACAATCATTCGTTCAACTTTGTATATTACATGTACACATGTACACAGCGACGGAATTGTGGCTCAAGGTGAAGGGAAACATCTCCACTCCATAAGCAAAATTTTGTAAACATATGAATATACTAGCTGCTGTTTCCTGGCCACGTTTTCTGCTTCATATGGTTAACAAAGAAATGCGAAAATGAGTTTAAAGCCATTCAGATGGTAAACGAATAACTCTCATGCAACTGTTTTACGTTCGTTAAGTTCTTATAAAGGCATTTGAAAATTAGTTTGAAGCTGATTGGCCGAAACATTGCAAAAACGAGGTATTTTTTTAGAGCCTCCGAGTATCCCAAAAGTGATGGCATTTCCGAAAAGTGTGAAACACAGCGCAAATAAAGATTTTTGCAAGTAAGTTTGCATCAGAAATATATCTTTGGCACACTGAAGATTAAATTCCTTTGTATACATTTAGCTTTTGCATTGCATGTAAGTTAGAAGGAAAGGGAAGCCTGTTGTTTCTGTGTAAGGTGAAAACAAAATAGACAACATTAAATGTTCCCATACAAAATCTCATAAGTGGGTCGCTGTTCATAAACTTGACTCATATGCAAAGAGCATAGTGCTCAGATATCTTGATCAAAATAAAATTCAAGAACTTGATTTTCAGCCGATCGTTCGTTATTAGCTAAATTATATACAAATTTGATGAGCTATTATTTAGGTGCAATCTCTTAGATTTTGAGAGCTGCAATTACCGAAATTTGACAAGTATCTTTTAGAATTCATCATGATCATATATTTTTAAATTTTTCTACCCGTACTGTTTACCCACCCATTTGGGGAGAGTTTCTATAAATTCACTTTTTTGCATATATAAATGTTAAGATTTAAAAATTAGCTTGACTGTAAGGATTCTATGTCGACTTGGAATACAATACAAGAACATATTTTTGTACTAATGAGGACCATGTATATATTTCTTTATTACAGGTCCCGCTTTTTGGGGTCTCATCAATCCGGAATGGTCACTCTGTAACAAGGGACGTCGTCAGTCTCCGGTGAATCTAGAGCCGCAGCGATTGTTATTTGATCCGAATCTTCGTCAAGTGCATATTGACAAGCACAGGGTAATATTATACAGTAAACATTTTTGTCTTAAATTGTACACCATTTTTATGTTTGCATAACAAGTTTTAAGTTTAAATGCATAAAATGGCGGCTGTATCCTTATCGGGAGCCCAGCCAATAGGAAATGCGTTTCACAATATTTCAATTTTATGGTCTGATCGTTAAAAACATGCAAGAGCTCATATACAGAATCCAGTAAAAAAAACTTTATTGCCATACTGTGTTGTTAGGTTGCTTTGGCAGACCCTTATAATATATATAATTTGTCCAGCTCCAAAACTCGCTCACTTGCTTAGGTAGCAAGAGAGTTAAATATCCATAATATTTGTCTGATAGGAAGACATCGCTGCTTCTTGTGTTTCGCTCCCACAACAGGAAACTGATTTGTCTTACTCTGAGAGCTTCAATGCTCTCTCATTATTATATTTGTGTATGTGTCCGCACCAGAAACATTTTACAAGTTTGTCTATATCTATACATGGCTTCCGCAAACATATCAACTTGTATGACTGCTAGGAAGCAAAAGATCATGTTGGAATGATAGAAAAGCATTTGTTCTCGAAAATTTAACCTCAAACCGAATAATCTGGCAACCAGCCTAAGGAAGTATCTATTCATTAATTATTCGCGAGATTTGAATATAATTATTTTTATAATTGATAATGAACCACTTCGGATCCTCTTTGATACGATAAGCAGTTTACGGTATTGTCTGTTCAGCAAGCATTCGTTGTCTGTAATCCTAATTTGTATTCGTTTTTGTGCTTCGTTACCATATTTATTATTTCCATATTTAGCCCTCACTTGAAGGTCAATATTTCCATAACGCCCACTATTTTAAACCCAAAAAACATCTTTAGTAAAAAGTAGAGCATGGTAGCTCTTACAGCTTGGGCTGCAACACAAAACATCTAACAATATAACAATTAGTACTTTGACAGTTTGCGATGTGATTTGGTCACATTCCAGTCAGTCAGTCAGTCAGGTCCAACTCTTATCTATATATATCATTTGTTTATTTACTAAAGAAGCATTGACCCAGAAATCCCTTTACTTCTTACAAATTTAACAATAATCTTACCAATGATATTCCCCTCAAATTAAAAAGTGTTTTTCCTTCCCCAACAGATAAGTGGAATTATAAGCAATACTGGTCACAGCGTAATTTTTACAGCCGGTAACGAAACTGTGGCGAATTACGATGGCATGCAGACACCAGTGAATATATCTGGTGGTCCACTTTCTTATCGTTATCGTTTCCATGAGATACACGTACACTACGGACTTAACGATCAATTTGGCTCCGAGCACAGTGTTGACGGCTACACGTTTCCGGCAGAGGTAAGTTAAAAGGACTGAATTACAGACAAATCGATTGTTGTTTCACTTCAATATGCATTTCAAGCCTATACAATTTTTGCATCCAGAGCCTTGAGCGTAGTTGTCAGGTTGATGCATTGCGGCCGAGGTAATATGGCTATATCCGTCTGTCTGAAAAGTTGGTTCTTGTATGACCAATTTTCTCCTCATATATATGTGTCTTCTGTGGCACGCAGTACATATGTCGGAACCGGCTGGATCGGACCTCTATATCATAAAGCAGCCATAAGACCGATTGGTCGAAAATTAGGTTGTATAAAAAACTTTTTGTTTTCAAGATATCTTAGCCATACTTCTTAAATACGGGCAAAGTACTATGAGCATTATAAAAAGGTTGGGTTTGCAAGGGTATTAAATCTTCGGCGTGCCGAAAATAGCATTTCTTTCTCGTTTTTTTTATTTATTTTATTTTTTAGTTCATGTGTATTACTGCTAAGGCAAACGAGCAAGAACGCGAGCTGTATATGATTTTGGTAGAAAAGGGTTTCGGTATTTCCCTAGTCGGGAACTCTCTACCAAAGCTTCTTATTTATTTTTTGTTTATTTTAAGGTCTAGCTAATGGGCATATACCAACTGAGGGGGTTCGTTCAGACCATTTATTAAAAAAAAAATGTTAAGCAGCATGCTGGGTGAAAGGCGGCGAAAGATGTGTAAGCAGAGTAAAAGGTTAAAGATTTAAATGTACCACTTGAGATGCTTTTGTGGCCTGCTAATTTGTCGAGCCATTTGCAGATGCATCCTGGCTATGTGTTCAGGCAGCTGGAACTGATTGTCCTTTCAGCTGCTCGTTTGCTGCTTTGGTTGCTTTCTTCGACTTTCCTTGTGTTAAATGATCTTTATTGATTTTACTGCCCACTCCATAACAGATAATGGCTTCCAGTAAAGCAAAGCCTTCACTGGCGGCATGTCAACAAATGGCAGCAAATTTCTCTCAGCCATTGTTTTTCTGCCTTTTGCTTTCGTTATATTTTTCTATTTGGCCTGGTTCAGTTCTTGTGACCATAATGTGCAGCTGTTGCCAATTTGTAAGTTGCTGTATATTGAGCTTATGCGTCTAATTAGTAAATGCCAATGGTGATTAACTCATATTACAAGGCTGCATAGAAAAACAGATGGGAGACCAAACGAGTCAAATTGTTGTACAATATATGGTAAGATAATTTAACAGCTGTAATGAAAAACTAGAATATACCCCGTACCTTAGCAAGACTCGAACTCGTTTTATAATAATATATTCAAAAAATATATTGTTCTTGGGTTAGTTTAGTATGGCCTATTTTATTTGAAGGGCTCTTATTCATATAATCTATATGTGCAGTAAATTGGGGTTTATGTGCTTACACCAAACACAATATAAATTCTGCTTATATTGTATTTATTTATACCATGTGTTAAGCAGTAAAATGGGTTTTTTTTTGTTTCGATGCTAATTTGATTTTTAAATATCTGTTTATGTTTATAATATTATTACTCTGTGTATATAATATAATATATAATATATATATGTGTATATAGTATAATATTATTACTCAAATTAAAGGCATGTGAGTCTCTCTTGCTATGCGATCCGCTAACTCATTTTCGGCTATTTTTGAATGGCAGGGATCCAAATTAGCTCTACTTGATTAATTAACAATCATCTTATTTTAGAGGAATAGTGGTCACATGGAGTCGGAGCCTATTATAAACCTTCCTCATGTTCTCTGATAGCTTTACGGCTTGCAAAATTGCAACTTTTTCCGCGGTTAATAATGATGTGGTAGCTTTTTATACTTTACTGTGAGTGTTTCTCTTGTAATTGTCAGAAATGTAATATTGTTGGGGACCATCGGTGTGTGTCTTATGTTGGTTTTAATTCATTTTTTTTTTATTCTTATTTATTTATTTTTATAATTACTAAAAGCGTAATCAGAATACAAATATATCTCATAGGATGCCTAGCTATGCCCCTTTTCACACCATTTTTATTCTAACAGAACATCATATTTTCATAGATTCATAGATGTCACACCTTTTCTATTCTAATAGAACATCATAAATTCAAGAATATTAATACTTTTAATGAATATATAAATATATACACTTTAATTGTAGTTAAATAAGGAGGTTTTTACACTTTGACTGTTCCGAGCCGGCCATGGGTAGAATTACTATTCATACAACATATAGATGGAACAGATAGACAAAAATTGTTTGCCATTAATTTTTAGTGGAAAAGGCCTCCCGTTGGCTTCGTTTTCGTTCGGATCCGAAGCTCGCTCACTTGTTCAGAGAGCAGGAGAGTATGAAATCCATATGATTTGTATAAAAGTACGGTATCGATGTTTTTATTTCGTTGCCACTACGGGAAACTCGAGTTAGCGTACCCGGAATGTGTATGTACCTGGTCTCAAATTGAATTGTTCTCAAACTTGGTCGCATTTCTTCCCATTAAAGGGACGAGTAATATAATATGTGCTTTGACTTAACCAGCCGATCATAAGTAGCTTCAAAGAGACTTAGATTTGGCTTTGCTAACACTATGTTTGAAAATAATTCAACGAAATTATATGAATATAGAAATCGAAATAAAGATATTGACTTTCCACCGAGCCCACTAAAAAAATATGTGTCTTCGGCAGCAAAAGTCAATGCTGTGAATAACAACACATACAAATATGATTAGATATATTTATGATGATGTAAGATGATGATGTATAGATGTATTCACACACATGCAAACACATATTTGCTAGCTTGCTTGCTAGCACGATTTCCCGGAAACGGGGCAAGTTATCGATTCATACATACGAACAGATGTATGGATGGACAAACAGACCGACATGGCGCGATCGACTCGGCTATTCATGCTGACCACGAATATATATACACGTTAGGTCGGAAATTCTTCCTTCTGCCCATTAAAAAACCCCTTTCTTACCACTTTCAATGGGTTTAGGCTTTTAAAAGATACGTTTAAAGAGATATTTCATTTGTTAAGGAACATAGCTTTCCTCTTTAAGCGCCTTTATTCATATTCCAGCTGAGCACTTGTTGTACTCAGTAGCCTTCATGTGTTTTGGATAAGATATTTATTCCAAAGCGTAATGGCTGGAGTTGCATAGCTCGTGTATTCAGTGCTATAAACTCACACGAATTGTGTTGCAATTTACTCGTCAAAATTTCATTTTCATTTACGGTTTGTGCCTCGGCTCCTTTGTTTGCGCTTCTTTGTGGAAACCATCAACAAATTTGAAAATTTTTCATTTAATTTAATTTAATTTTTGTATGCTTTACTGAGCACATATTTAAATTGCAGCATGTAGCTTAAATATTTAACTAAATTTGTATACCCTTCCAAGGGTTATTATAGACCACTGTTGTGGAATGCAGTATAAAAAAAATACAGCGACTCCATTAAGTTTTTTATTGCTGATTATTTCATTTAAAATATTCAACCATCTTAAGTCAGCTACGGAAAAAGAAATCAATTTGTAGTATCCCAATTTCTACCTTTATTTAAAAATGATTTTTTGGTGATTTTTCCGGCTTAGATTAAGAATGTCCGCTCCATACTGTTCAATTACCAGTTTGCCATTATGAGAATGAAGAACTGTCTAATAGAAACTACCTTATTCTCAGTTCTCCAAGCAAGAAAGGAAATTTTGTTATGACAAAAATGTTCGTTGTAGTCCCTTGATTCCAGCTCCGGACTGTACGCTGAATTAAAAACTTCCCAATCAAGATCCTTCAAAATGCCTTGGTTATTAGTAATAAATGTTTTTTACTCGATGGCTGTACTCAGGCTGGCGACTGACTTCGTTGCTGGTGTCAGCATCAACAAGCCGCGACTTTTGAAAATTCAACGGTTGTTTACTAAGTACCTGATCAGCTTCAAAGTCTTTTTAGAGTTCTTTGTAAAAATAATTTGTGATGGATTTATAAACTTGATAAATGCGGGAGAGAGGTTACAAGGGCGAGGTTTTATGTTGTGTTCTATTAACTTAACAATTTGTTTCAAAGCACACAAAAAAAAAAAAACTAAATGACTGCGTGTTTCAGCAATTTTTAATATTTTACGCGCATCTGTAGATATTTCTCAAAAAAATGTACAACTTTTATGTTCACCATCGAATCGGCTTATAAGTAATTTTCAGAGATCTCTGTGAAAATCTATTTTATGTATCGTTCTTGGTTGGAAGGCTTCAGAACAAGTTTTATTTTATATATTTCTATTTGTCGACAACCAGATTATCGCCACAAGCCAATATTTCAGTATTTAATACACACGTATCCCTTACAATTTATAATTTTAAACTGTTTCCGTGGTTTTTCAGATACAAATATTCGGTTATAACTCACAGTTATATGCAAATTTCTCAGATGCCCTGAATCGTGCGCAAGGAATCGTTGGAGTCTCCATTTTATTGCAGGTAAGCTTTCACACGTCTCACACTCGTTTTCGAAGGATTTTTTTTATCAATTAGCTACTTTTTAGCTGGGCGATCTGTCCAATCCCGAACTACGAATGCTGACCGACCAATTAGAACGTATTCGTTATGGCGGCGATGAGGTCTTTGTAAAGCGGCTGTCTATACGTGGACTCCTGCCTGACACAGACCATTACATGACGTACGATGGGTCAACAACGGCTCCGGCTTGTCACGAGACAGTCACTTGGGTGATTCTCAATAAACCAATTTACATAACAAAGCAACAGGTAAGTGGCAAGTACAAATACAACAGGTAAGTAGCAAGCATCTCCGGCCCGAAAAACTATATATGTTATTGATCAGCATCACAAACCGAGTCGATCTAGCTATGCCCGTCTGTCTGTCCGTCCGTCAGTATGCATTAATGCAAGAGTCTCAGAACCTATAAGAGCTAGAGACTTAAAATGTAATATGTAGATCCTGCCCGCGCAGTACGAGTTTGTTTCCGATAATCGATAACTTACCCTGTTTACAGATAAATAATATCGAAATCCTTTTTTTTTTTTAGAAAATTTTGTAAGTTATAAGAGCTGGGTCACCAAATTTGACATGTAGCTTCTAAAATAGAATATTTATATCACGTATCATTTTATATATATCACCACCTCCCCGCTACTACCTCATAGCTATAAATCAAGTTAATTAACCAGTTTTTCATTGCCCACCAATTTAAGCCAGAATTTAAATGCAAATGTGATCGGTCAAGAAACACAAAATTTTAATGAAATTTTAGTTTTAGTTAAATAAATTAATTGTTAATACTGCCAAAGCAAACGAAGAGGGTTCAGGGTGTTCCCAAGTCGGGAACTCCCGACCTAGGCCCCTTACTATATATTTGTGATTTTGTTAAGACACACTTGAATACCATCTTTTGTACATTAAACGGCTATAAAGATCGATCAGCTAATCAACATTAAATTGCCAAAAGTGTGTAGAATCAGTGTTGCTGCTATGTAAGTTGTGTAGTTTGCCACACATAAGTTTGTGTGTTGTACGCAAACGTGTCTATAAGTACCTGAAAATAAAACGGGGCTATATTTTATGATTTGAAGAAACTGCGTTTTGATAAATTCCATAATATTATACTATCTGTTGAAAACTTGGGACTACAGCCGACTATAGTATACTTTTTTAATGCCTGTTACACATTATATTTATTTATGGCTCCTACAATAACCAAGCAAAGAGCTTGGCTATTTAGCTTCTTAATTACTAAATTTTCTGGTGTTGTGTGTTTTAATTTACACAAGTTTGAAATAAGGTTGCTTCTCGAATTAAAAGACAATAAGAACAAAGGGACAGCGACGTTAACTGCAAGTGATGGCCACTTTTTGCTTGCGTTCGTACGAGCAAACAAAAAAGGCAGCATACAAAATGTAATGCAAATGTTTATTAAGTGCCGCGCTGTAATAAAGACGCCACATGCACAGCCGTCAGGCAGGGGATGGCTGCGGAGAGTGTTTGGAGTAAAGCCAGGAACCAACGTCGTACATGTAAGTTCAGTAAACAGTGATGAAGCTGTGACCATACACTTGCATATAGTACAAGGAACGCCAGCAGCTCTAGCGGCTGAGGGGGAGCAGAGTCACAGACGGAATAGGCAGCCGCTGAGCCAGACTCATAAAAACTTAAACAAGCGCAATGGCACCCAAGAGACCATGCTTACAACTTCTGGCAGCACTCGAACTCTCAGACGACATCAACAATAACTGAGGGAGTGAATGGAATAGATGCAACACTGGGGCAGGAATATCCTGAGAATACAACGGTGATGCAATTTACTGAGAATTGCCAATAACTGCGGCTACGCGGCTGCACCTTGCTTTCAAAGTATAATTAATCAAATTGGAGTTACACTAGAAAATGTGTGAAGCGTTGTAGCAAACTAAACAAACATACATATCTCTCTAGATTGTAGGGTATCAAGAATACAGAATGCAGACCACTCTAACTATTTTTTTATTTTTTCTTCTTCAGTTTTGTAGTTCAAAAAGGTAACAAAAAAAAAGTGTTCCATCGGTAGGGTTCGAACTCGCAGCAGACCATGCTATTTGACGCAGGTTTTATTCAATACCCACACCAAAGATTTTGTCCACTTGAGAAAAAAAAAAACGGATTAAAATAGCAGCACAGAAAACAAAACAATCGTAAATGTAATACTGTTCATGTACTGTGCGTGTACATGCAAACAAAAATTCCTGCAATTAGCGATAATAACTTTTTTCTTCTTTATTAACTTATGTGTTTTTTAAGCCGATCTCGATAAAATGTTCAACAGTGCATCTTATCGTACTATAGTATACTCTTAAAAAGTCAATTGCATTTATGCTGTGGCCTAAATTGGAGGGCAGTATACATTAGATTATTAATATGATTTATAGCTATCAGGTGATAGCGGGGAGGTGGTGAGAGCTATAAAAAGAAAGATACCTGAAATATGTCTATAAACTATTATAGAGGCTACATGTCAAGTTTAGTGACTCTAGCTTTTGTTATTCTTTGTTCGATCGGTATCTATTTTTTATCGATTTCTCGGAAACTGGGCTAGTTATCGGAAACAAGCTCGTACTGCGCGGGCCCTAGGAAGCCCTATGTTCCAAATTCCAAGTCTCTGACCCGTATAAGTTCTGATATTCTTGCGTTCATACATACGGACGGATAGATCGGTTCGGCTCAACTCGGCTATTGACGCTGATCAAGAATATATACACCTTATGGGCTCAAAGATGCTTTTTTCTACCTGTTACATATATTTGCACACATACATTTTACCCTTTTTACCCATTTTCAATGGATTCAGGGTATGAAAAAGTTAGTTCCTTGTACCTAAGTCTACTTAATAAGTATACCCTTTTAGCAGCTAAATGTCGAATTTCGTGACTCTAGGTCATGAGATTGATGAAAATTATCCCTTGTATAGGGTATTAAATTTTTATCAAAAAATATGTAACTTCTCCGACTCCAAATATATTTAGACTAGATCTATATAAACAGCAGAGCTGATATAGCCAAGTCCTTCTGTCCGACATTCTGTTTTCATGCCAACTTGTCTCCCAGTTTTTAAGCTATCGTCTCGAAACTTTGCATGTGTCCATATGTATATTGCAGGCAGTACACATTGCGGGACCGGTCGGATCGGGCAGGTCTAAATAAGTTTTTGCACAAACAACTTCTTGTTGTTCAGGATATCTTGACCAAACTCATCTGTTATAAGTTGTATAGTTGCCAAAAGAACGATCGGTCGAAGATTAATATCTCTTAGAACCTGGCAAAATATTATGTTTTCAAAGTTATTTTCATGAAACTTAGCATTAACGAACTTCACTCTTTTTACATATCAGCAAGGCAAATATCTACGAGGGTGGTAAACCTTCGATGCTCATTAAATAAGTAAAAAGTTTACTTATTGACTAAAGCCTGAAACTTTGTTTTTGGTAGAAGGGTTAGAGTATTTTCTAGGCGGAAGCCACGGACTAGAACACCATTACTTCTGTTGTACTTTGCATGTATGTATACTCAAAGGTTCCTAAAACACAAGCACAGTTGTGCTTCATTGGTAAACGGAAGCTGAAGCAGCTTACGGTATGTGCCAGAAATAGAATAAGAAAGTCGAGGGTTAATTAGGAAATATAGTTTTGTAAAAGTCTTTTAGTTTTTGAGTGCTACTAAAAACGATTTGAAGTCTCGTGGAAGGGTTGTTTTTTTAGTGTAAGTTGTCTAGACAAAGATGGTTGTGACTTTATTGTTCCATTCAACACAATATTAAATTGCATTACTCTCAAACTCAATTCATTTCTATTTTAGTTGCACGCACTGCGCCGCCTGATGCAGGGCAGTCCTGACCATCCAAAAGCGCCACTGGGAAATAACTATCGTCCTCCACAGCCGCTGCTGCATCGGCCCATCCGCACAAATATTGACTTCAAAACAACGAAAACAAAGGCCGCTTGTCCCACCATGTACCGTGAGGTCTATTATAAGGGTAAGTAAAACACAACTGGAGCTATAAAGAACGCTTTAATTGAGTGTGCTCGGCTACAAACTTCCTTGTACACTTTAGTCAAAGGAATATTTTGGTTATGAGACCACGCCTTAAATTCTTCATTAAAGCCCAATATGAATGCCAAGTTTAAAAAGCCTACGCATTAATGCGCAACACACAACCTCATGTGCGATTAACTGCTTAACTCACGTGGCAACAGCTCTGTTTCTGTAGAACACTCAATGCTTAAAAACCAATGTTAACTGCATAATTCAAAATTCATTCAAATGTGTGTACATACGAAAACTCAACGCTCTAGCTATAAAATCGATTTGAGGGTATCTAAATAGTGGAAAGCATAGCACTTATCATTTTTGAGTTATGTTTAAAAATTCTAGTCTCAAAAGCGATATTTTAATTGAAATTTTGAAAATGTGAAGAGATATTGAAAAATGTGAAACTCGCTTCAAGTGTCCAGCTTTTATACCTTCCAATATCAGCGCGATTATACAGACGGGAGGACGAGCGTGGTTGGACATTGACCAACAATATATACCCCATGGCATCAAAGATTCTTTAATTAAGTTAATTCCATATCTAAACATTAGAAGCTTTACAAAAAGTTTTTTCGATCTTAAGGTGTTTGTATATTTTAAATATAAAAATGTACCTTCATTTTTTAACTTAATTGAATATACATTATTTTATTAAACTGCCTTTAAACTCTATGTTTCGTGTTTATTCCCCTCCTACACGTGCAGCAACCAGTTGGAAACAAAACTAAAAGTCAATGCCATAACGTTCAGTTTAAAGCGTGAGACGTTAGTAACGTGTGGCTTGCAAAAGGAGCTTCCAATAAATATACATATATAATAAAAAAGCGGAAGAGTCAAAGAGGAAAGGACAGGAAAAAAAGGGAGCGAGTAAAGCAAAATAAATTTAAAACTGGCAACGCATAACCAAATGGCAATTAAAAAATATACATATACTACATATATAGATATACATATGAAAAGACCCTATAAAACATAATAAGAGTTAATGGTGATCATTTTTAGATCAACATTAAAAACGCCTGTTGAATGTTTTTTTTTTTTTGTATAATGCATAAGGATATAAAGACATATATAGACATTAATCATAAACGTAATATACTGTAAAATGATATAAGATGCACAGTGAGATTGTCGCAACAACAATAAGATCAAACATATAACTACAAATTAAACGTTAGCATAAAATATATATATATATATATATATATATATATATACATATATATATACATATATATATATATATATATATCTATAACTATTTATACTCTATTATTATATAACTAATTAAAATTGACGACAACAAAAATGATGTCAGCTAGTGGATGTTACTAATATAGTAGACGCATTATGCAAAACCCACCCGTGCTATATACTGTATTTATAAATATATACATACGTAAACTTAGACATACAACTTATATCTTAAACACACAAATGTAGGTAAGAGCCTAAAGAGCTGTGCGAGCAATCGTAACGGCCTTCCCATTTACAATTTATACTTGGCTACCATAATGATTTGAATAATTTAGTCCCAGCATTCTGTTAATTTTTTGGCAACTTCGTTTTTTTAAATAGAGGTGAACTTTGTTCCCTTTACATAAAAATTAGAAGTTCCTTTTTATATCATTGTAACTTAGGTACATAGAATATGTATATCTGTCAATATAACAATCAATACCAAGTTCAAAATAAATAAATTGTGCTTATTATTTGCAAAATCGAATGTGTATTATATAAAGGATTTAATTTGCAACAGCCCTTAAATTGCCCAAACTCGGGCAGATGTATGATCCTGTTCAAAACATACTCGGAAAACGTTTGGTTGGTCTATACTCATTGTGTAATAATTAGAAGGAATGGAAAGGTTACTATGAGGCTTTATTACTGTTTTAGAGTTTGATTGGGTTGGTCTGCAAAAGCAAAATCAAAAACAAGAACTCAAGCCCACTTACCTTGGGAAGCAACAACAAATCACAACAAAACGCATCAAACCCGGTCTTATCGTCTTGATCGAATGCAAGGATGCGAGACAAATGCGTTTGTACATATGTCGGAACCAACTGCCATAGAAACGATTGGCTAAAAGTTAAGTTTCTGCAAGAAAAAAATTGTTGCTTATCAGCGTATGATAAAACCCAATCGAATCAATTATAAAAAAAAAAAACAGTTTCTCTGGTAATGCTGCTTATCTAATCAAGATCCCACTAATTTATTGTAGAGCCATATACTATAATTTGGTCGAAAAATGAGGTTTTGTGTGACAACCGACAATTACGTGCTTAACCCTTATTACGTATCTACAAAGTCGTAAAGGACGTGTCTGCAGGTGTATTATATCCTCGGTGCGCCAAAGATAGCAGTACTTTCTTGTTTATTACAAATATTACTAACCGACAAGTAAGAGTGCTCGAGCTTGGATTGCCCGCTTGGGTATACCGACAAGTAAGAGTGCTCGAGCTTGGATTGCCCGCTTGGGTATACCCTCGACGTGCTTTTACTTCTTTTTTAAACCATTTTATTGGTAAAGGGATATACTAGCATTAATAAAAATAAACGAATAAAAGAGAAGCTAGTTCCTCCTGCCGTTGTCAAAATTACAACTGCACTTAACAGTCCGATCCACTTACCATGGCCGCTAATCTGACAGTTGTACCAAGAATTGATTTTAATCACTATTCATTCATGAAATAGAGTCATCAAATCGACAAAAAAAAAAGTGGTTGACAAATTTTCTGTGCACAGCTTGGCTGCGGTTAATTTTAGATACATGTATGTTTGTGTTAAATTCCTCAACGACACATTGATGCTTGTTTGCATGCGAGATACCTCTCTCACTCGCTCTAGGTCAATGCACTTTTGTGCCTCTAATTATTACAGCATAGCTTTCGAATATAAAACAATTCCGAGATCTATATAGATGCACATGTATGAATTGTATGGATATGATTACAAGGTGATCAATGCGTCTCAAACCAAAGATTTTCCCTTAACGCGGAGAGTCTCGGCGTCGATCTCTAAATCTAATATATAAGATCTAATCTAATCTAAAAGAGGTGGAGACCAAAATTGTGAACGTAGGTAATTCTAACGTCCGTAATACGCGATCATCATCATCACATCTGGACATCGATAAGCTGACCCAAAGTAACTACGGAAAAAATTGCAGTTTTCTTAATCTCTAACAGTTTCGGCTATGCGTTGAACAACAATCAGTCAGTCACCTTTTTCCCTTGTTCTCTTAAATTCCTCATAGAATCTAGTCCTATTCATCATCCTCTTGAAACAACAGGCTTTCTGAGGGATCAAATTTGACAACCATTGCTAATTCCAGAGCAGCGAATATTTTGCGGGTAAACACGTTTTTTATTTTGATTAAAAAGGGAATTAACAAAAGAAGGAGGTTAGTTAATATTGTCGTCGACTGAATTATTCGACTGTAGTCCTCTGTCGCTTTTATTAACATATTTAATAAGCAGCACAGGCGTATAATTCTTTCGATGCATCCTCAGCTTTTCATTTCAACAAATATGGAACATATATAGGCATATTTCGAAGACTATAAGAACAAGAGACACAAAAGTTGGTATGAAGATTCTCGAATAGTAAACACAGTTTGAAAATTCATCACCTCTTCGTTTTATAAAGATTGAACTATAAACAGTTATTCAATATCGCATTTATCATAGAGTTGGGCGGAAGTTGTCAGAATATTTTTTGTATGTATGGAATGTTTGTTAGAACTGCTCAGCGTCGTTCGGGTACAGGGTATAGCCTTCTGGGAGCTCTAGACTGCAGCACTCTTATTTGTCAGATAATATTTGATAAAATAATACAATGCAATCTGCAACATTTGCAGGAAAATGCTGCAGATGCGTGTATTCCAGATTTTAAATTATTTTGACCACAGCAGCAGCAGTTGCTGTAACTCCTCCTCCAGTTTGTCATTGAACTGATACACTTCGTGTCTGCACTGCGGCGTCCTGTGCATCCTGGCTTCTCGATTATCAAACATAAAATGCAACATAAAACCACAAAATCTGTTGTGGTTATTTTAAATCACGTTTAAATAGTATAGTAGATATAGAGATGAGCGCGTGTTGCATTTTGCCAACGAGACATTCAACTTTTATTTTTTGTTAATATTAAATATATTGCAAATCTGTCATATGACATCCAGAGGTTTTCAGTGTTGACAACTGTTCTTTTCTGATTTTTATATCATGAACCAAATAAAAATGTGAAAAGAGCGCATAATGTTGTTATGCAAATGTATGCAACAGGCAGATAGAAACATATCCCAGAAATTATATGTCTCGTGGAACTGCACAACGAATTGAATCGATATATCCATGTCCTTAGGTATGAATACGACGATATCCGAAATTATAAGAGTTATAAATATGTATTCACGTGTCTTATACGAAAAAACTGTTTTTTTTTAGATTTTCAGCATTTGTTTCACTTTTATATAGTTACTTTTTTAATGGAGTCTAGTCTATATTTCTCAAGTATTTCACAGTGTTAAAAAAGCACAATCAAAATTTAATGCTGTCACACGTCCACAGCAAAGTGGTAATTAATCTGGGTACGTGTCACGCAAAAAATAACGAAATCCGTCCAACTCTAGCATAAAATATAAACTTTTATGGCCAAAAGGGAAATTATTGTGAATAAGAGTCGCTTGGGGATATGCTATGAAAAATAGCCCCAAAACCAAAGCAGCTTTTTTATTCGGGTTAGGAGAAATGGGTGAGTGTTGCCATATCACATAATAATTTGTATAAATATTTGCATTCATTTACCAAGCCACAATTTTGATGCCAGGTCCAAAACGTAAACAAGAGTATATTGGTCTAGTGCTAGCTACAGACTTGAAACGAAAAGCCTTAAATATAGATTTACTTGTATATATCCGCGTGAGATAAATAAATTTTTAAATATTTGTGTATAAAGTGCTGGCAAATCGGATAGATCTACAGTGTAAACACAGCTATTTTCGGCACTATTGAAGCAAGAACTTGAACTTGAACTTGAAAACTCAGCGAAAATCATTGGACTGTAGACGAGTATTATGCAGTTGGTATGACCTGAGTGCAACAACCATTCTTGTTCATGCATGTTACGAGTTTGCCAATGCTTTTTAGCCGACAGAGTTTCACCGCAGCAAGGGATTTGCCAATTATGACTGAAATTAATAAATTATTTTTACCTTGTACCCATTGAAAATGGCTAAAAAAAATACATGTATACGTGTTGGGCAAATGATGGTACAGGTAAGGAGGCATGTCCAACCCTATTAAGTTCGTATATTCTTGATGAGCACGAAAACGCTTTATGCTAACGATCGACGCTTTGTGTTTTTACTGAATTCTCTATATGATACAATTGCTTAGTTTTACAGGAAAATTGTTTCTAGTTTTAAGTTTGCACTGAGTCCAACATACAAAAGATCAAGTCTTAGTCAATGGCGTGCTTTGTTTTTTAAATTATAAATTGTTCATGAACTCTTAAATTCGAAGAATAAGTTAGTCATTCATATACCATAGACATTTTTCTTATTGTATATAACGTATGTGTCTATGTGTGAGACAGGCAAAAAAAAGAATTTCAATATCGATTCTTATCGATTACAGGAAGTCCTTAGCTCCTATAGGTTCTGATATCCTTGAGTTCATACATACGGACAGATGGACGGACTGACAGATGGACATCGCTAGATCGACTCTGTTATTGATGCTAATCAAGAATATATATACTTTATGGGCGGAGATACTTCCTTCTGACTGTTACATTAGCACAAACACATTATACGCATTTACCCATTTTTAATGGGTTCAGAGTATAAAAATATTTTGCTTTTTCCTACAGCTCTTTTACTGTTGAACGACATTGTCATACTGAATTGTCGTGGACAAAAAACAAAAGTACGACAAGGAAGCTGACTCGCTTTTTTAGTGTTTCTTACTCCTTTCCTTCCCTATCATTTTTTTTTAGACTTGTACACTGCGTTTTTATATGAAAAAACAAGTACATAAAGAATAGTCAAGCTACCATATGTTTACTTTTTCAAGGAGTTATTCACAATTTAATCCTTATAAAATCACAATTGCATGCTATTTCGCATGATAAAATATTTACCCGAAAATGCCTTCTTTGTAAAATAAATGAT